TCCTTCTTTTCTTTGATATTCTTAAAAAATTTTATGGTTTAAAATTTGGTGGTGTGGGAGTTGTAGGGGGGTTTTGATCTCATCAGTATCTTAATAAGCTCCCAAATTTGGTGATTCTAAACACTATTAGACCTACTATATTTAACACATCATAGCCCTTCGTAGCCCTTAAAACTAAAATATTCTAAGCGACGGATTGCGTCTGCTTCTGTTTACGGCAGCGTGCCAGTCTTGGTACGTATTCTGGTATTACTGCCAAGTCTAACTGGTGACCGGTTTAGGTATCGGGAAGAGGCGACGTAGTCAGATGGACTACCAGTAGGGCAGAGAAAGAAGGTCTAGGGACCTCTTTGATTGACTTTTTGTCATAGGGTCTAGGCGTTGCCTGGAAAGTGCAGAGTCAACCTGTTTGACGCCATTTTTTAAGGTACGTAGTCCGGTTGCCGGAAGTGCTAAAAGTTCCATCCCAAAATTGAGACATAAAATTTCGTATCGACATTGTGACGCAATAAGTTATAGCAAGTTTCACAATGCTCTGCTATTAGACAATGGTCCTCTCTCTCAACATTGTTCATTGAGATTTTAGTTTTAAATTTTGCTCAATTTGGGTGCACCTTAAAAGCAGCATTTTGAGTCTTGACGGTTCGATTTGAATGTATGATCTTTTTCTATCCATATCTGTGATAAATATTACTCTCTGGGCTAATTCCCCCAGCGAGGAGTACAGATAAACGAGCGAACAGAACAGGACATTCTACTCGTATATCAATTTTGTTGAATGGATGCGAATAATTTATGTCGGTTGTCAAAGAAAAAGTTTCGAAAGGCAGAGAATACCCTACCTTACGTGCAAAATTCCACCATGAAAGGAAAAGGAACAATACAATAATTTTGAAGCTAGAGGTAAAGTGAAATGCGTCGCCGTCTTCTGCTTGTCCGTGTAAAACATTGCACTAAAGTTGTAAGTATAGTAAGCATCACAACCAGCTAGAGCAACAGAAACAATAAGACGGGTGAATAAATCTGAATGCTGTCAAATGTTATCGCTTCGTGTGATATCGATTCAAATTCTTTTCATATCCTTATCCATATTGGCAGTTTTTTAAATACTTAGCTGGTTCTAAGTATCACCACCTAGTGTCCTCGAGTTTCACTACGGGCTGTTAACGAAATAAAGTAGACCGCTCTTCATATTCATACCCTGTATTATGAATCTGGACAGCCTTGTAACTGCTGCTGTTTCCTACTTCGCCCATCGTCTTCGAATTTGACTAGCGATTTTGGAATTTCGACAATATTTTTGGGAAGTAAGTAGTACGCCACTCTTCTTCGTCCTTACTACAGTAGTGACCTATTATCAGATTACCATATGAATCTTTTTTATGATACATCCGTCAGAAAATGTCCAAAAACCTTTCATCCCGCATATGACATTTTTCGCGATCGAAATATTTTCATATATTAGCAGGGAAGGCAATAAGTACTTTATAGACCACTAGGTACGTTAGAGCAATTCTTGGTAAAATTCTGGACAAACAAACAAATAGAAAACGTGAAGAGTGAAACAGAAACGTACACTTCAAAGCACTTTTTAATCTCTTTTCCGCAACGGATACGGCGGAAGGTTAAGGGGTCGTAAGATAAAAAAACAAAGAACGAAAAACAATTAAATGGGACAATCGTAAGGTTTCTTTACGGCCGAAAGCCTCCCATTCCATTCCACTAAAAGGTTCATCGTGACTAAGACGTATTCCCATCTCCTTCGTCTGAAACTATTCGATAAAATTGATTAGTTTAAAAGCGCAATTCTCTTTTTTCGGTTTCACTAGTCGCACACTCGATCATGCGTGCGATTATTTAGGGTTTCTTATTTTATTAACCGCAAAGTTAGCCCTCACCACCCTACGCATTACGGAATATTCTGTTATAGTTCAGGAAAGTTGGTCTTGCAGGTTTAGGCTTGGAGATAACTTGTGCCTTCTGATACCATTTGGAATTATTTGCTGAATGAATGAATTGGACCAACAATAATTAATTATAGATAAGTGTGCAATGGATATCTGGTTACTATCTGGTATCCGGCCTATCTGGCTGCTATTTATTGTCCGACCGAATTCTAGGTTTAGTATGCAGCGAAGGTATCATAAAGCAAACAAAAAAAACGCAAAATATACGAACTTCATTTTTATTGTTAGTTGGTTGGTTTTTGGGTAATTAGGCCGTCGTAAAATATGTTTACTTGACGTTTCGACAACACGAGTGGTTGGCATCTTTAGAAGATGTTCACAGTTTGGAGTCCTGTGAGCTGCTGACATATCCGCGGTCTTAGCTCATATTTATATATGGCTTGGGTGGTGGGGAGAACTCTTCGGGAATCCTCGGCTGGCGGCGTGCTCGGGAATCCTCGGCTGGCGTCGTGCTCGGGATGACGCGTCTGTTGTTTTGCCATCTGGATGACGCAATTTTCGTGCTTTTTAATACTGGTAGCTATGTGTTGTGTACTTTCAGTGATTCCTCTGTTTTGTCCATGTGTTTGTATATCTCTATAGCCTGCCGGTATAATCTAGCAGGGTATACTGGTGTGTTAGCAGTGATTTGGGCTTCTTCAGATTTAAACGGTGGTCCGTTTTTTGGTGAGTGTGTGTTCGGCTACAGCAGACTTTTCAATTTGACCCAGACGGCAGTTCCCTTTTTGTTCTTTAATTCTGGTATTGACCGATCGTTTTGTTGTTCCGATGTTACACACTTCCACAAGTACAAGGTAGCGATAGACTCCCGAAGCTTTGACGTTCTCCTTGAGAATTAGACGTCCAATTCTGACTGCAACTCTGGGAATATATGGCAGGAATGCTGTGGCCACTGGTTGGTTGTTTTCTTTGGCTGTGGCGTTACTTGATGTCATAAATTTTCTAATTTCCAGCTCTGAGTATCCATTGGCCATTAGACGTTCAAGTTCTAAATCCAGTTCTTCGAGTTCACAGATTCTCCTGGCTCTTTCTGTTTTAATGACGCCATATTTCTGTCAACTGTGGTCATTGGAGTTCCTATGCAGACACCTATCTGTGTGCGTTTCTTTTTCTATATACCGTATGTCGCAGTCGTCTCTCTTGGCTGGTTAGTAAAACGTCCAAGATAGAGACTTTGCCGTTGTCCTGTAGCTTCATGTTGCTATGCATGTTATTGATATGAGTGAGGACTTCATTAAGTTTTTCAGGTCCGTGGCTCCATATTACAAAAGTGTCATCGATATATCGAAACCATATTTTGGGTTTGTATGGTGCACTGCTAAAAGCACGTTGCTTAAGATCCTCCATGGAGAAATTCGCTACTACTGGACTCAAAGGGCTGCCCATTGACACACCTTCAGTTTGTTCGTATATTGTGTTGTCCCACGTAAGGTATATAGTCATCAGGGACAGTATGTATAGATTGGCAATGTCCTCTGGAATAATGCGGCGAATCTGTTACTGATACTATGTCCAAACTCACTAGTATATCGTCTTCTTCGAGATAAATTTCGTTTATTCTTGATATGAAATGGGCAGACTCCTTGATATACGCATTGGATTGCCTAATGTGTGGTTGTAAGCAGGGTTGTGAGGTGCTTGGCTAGGTAATATGTTGTTGAGACCAATTTTGTTGACACAATCATCATGCATTCAGTACAATTAAACAGTCAATGCTTCTTATCTAACACAGCATCAAAGATAAAGTAGAATAACAAATAAAACGTTATCGTTTGTATTAAAAAATCAATCAACTTAACTAATAAAGAGATCAAAGAAAATCACAGAGTACAAAATTCTGCCATTATCACTGAATCCGAAAATAAAATTCACTAACGGCGAATTGCAGCGTATAAATGCCATTTTTTCTGCATTTGCTAGCTATAGCCGCTTTACAATATGACGGCTTTAGAAGACAATATCTCACTGTACACTCTGCTAAAGGAAGGCGAGATATGTGTTTTGACAAATTTTGTTAAAATTTTGACAGTATGCATAAATATTGAATGCCACTTCGCTTAATTCTAGCGTTTCGAGATAAATATTCTCTAGCAAAAGCACTGGGGGAAATGTTCACGGTCCAAGCCATAGCTTGGGTTACCTCGTTGAAACATCTCCAAAAAATTTGCTGAGCTTCTTGCTAGATGGGAGCGTACCTAACTCCCACCTAACAGGAAAATGCACCTATGAGCCTTTTCGATCACGTTGGCTAACTGGCGGCCTTCCTTAAGGAGGAAGATATTCTACCACACTGTCGACATGGCTTTAGAACACAAAGGAATGCGCAAACAGTTATACTACATATTAGTAAATTATATGAGTGTTTGGATGAGAGAAAAAAGTGGATAGGACTATTCACGGACTTGAGTGAGGCGTTTGATAATGTCAGTCACCAAATTCTAAGTTGTAAGCTTTATGATTATGCATTACGCGGAAAATACACGGCTGGGTCATGTCATATTTTGTTCTAAGGTGACTGTGGATGTTGATGGATGCTATTCTAACGGCGTATTGTCGATATTGGTATACTTCAAGTCTCGATCCTAGGCCCATTACTATTTTTGCTATTTGTCAACGACTTGCCAGATGAGCTAGTTATGTATGCTGATGACAACATGTACCCATGTTGTGAAAATAATGTAAAGTCATGCATTGATAAACTACAATGCATAGTAAATAAATTTATGAGCTGTTTTTCTAGCAATTCACTATCATTACGCAAAAAAGACTGTCTTTATAAATTTTGCTCCTCAATCAATGAGATCCAATTAGTCAAGCTCAATGGCATGTCGTTGGTTCAAGTAGCAAAGACGAAATTTCCAGAAATTCATCTTGATACAGCTTTTCACTGGGAGCACCACCTAAGCAAAGTGTGTAAAAGCTTGTAATCTGGTTGTTTTGCAATCTGGAGGCTTCGATAAGTATGTCCAAAGACATTATCATATTATCATGCACAGCTTGCTTCTAGAGTAAAATATGGCAATATTTATTTTATCAAGTCATACGCAGAGGGTCCTTATATTGCAGAAATGGGTATTTAGAACAATAGCTGCGTGCGTCGTGGAAAGAACTTCCCAAGAAGTATAATATAATTGATCAAAACTCAATTCTTGATACATCAGATCTTCATGACGTCAACATTGCTCACTCTATGTTCCTAACTGCAGTGGATAACAAAGAGTTACAGCAAAAAGTTTGTAATCTGAAAAATAATAGCTCACGCGGAAAAGATAGCTTACACACTAAAACTATCAAGATGATCATGAAGTATATCAGTCACCCTATAACTCACATTATCAACCTCTGTTTCAAATCCTCAGTAGTTCCTCGCCAATTTAAAGAAAGCATAGTGACAGCAATATTTAAATCTGGAAGTAAAGACAGTATGTTCAATTACAGACCTATTTCAGTTATCAATGTATTTGGGAAGATTTTTGAGAAGTGTTTGAATAACAGACTTTGTTCTTTTCTTGAGAAATATGACATAATATCGAACTGTCAATTTGGGTTCCGCAAAAATTGCAATACAGAGCAATCTCTACAAGAACTTATAGGACAAGTGCTTGAAAATTTTCAAGATGGAAATAAGACTGTTGCAGTTTTCCTAGATCTTCAAAAGGCTTTCGATTCGGTATCTCATACAATTTTATTAAAGAAACTAGAAACTGTTAGAGTGCGTAGTGGAGTTCTGAGCTTATTTGAGAACTATTTGGCTGATCGATTACAACAGGTTAAGGTAGGGTCAGATTTAAGCAGCATTCAAAAGATCAAAATAGGTATACCTCAGGGGACGGTTTTGGGACCAGCACTGTTCCTCATATACATAAATGAACTACTTCGATGCAATTTCAACTGTAAAATGATATCATATGCAGACGATACTGTTTTAGTTTGCACTGGTCATTCATGGGATGACGCAATACGGAATGCCGAGTTGTCATTAAATAAAGTCAAAAGCTGGTTGAATAACAATTTACTTAGACCTAATATCTCTAAAACTAAGTATGTGACGTTTTCTCCAACCAAAGCAGGCATGCCATTACACCACCGAACATTAATTATAAATGATAGTGCTGACTCTGTCGAAAGAGTTGAAGTTATTAGATACTTAGAAATCATTGTTGACAGTAATTTAAAATGGCAGAGTCATGCCGAGCTTTTGGCATCGAAATTAAGGAGAATTATTCATATGTTTTTCATTCTTAGGCATACTTCAAGCAGAAAGAGTCTCTCAATATATAACTCGTATGTGGGGTTTCTACTAACTTACGGGATAAGTATATGGGGAGCCGCATACACTAGTACTTTAAAAATACTACAAACCACGCAAGGACTATTTTTCGTATCCCATGTTAGAGGTTTATATATTTTTGCTGCTCTGAAATTTGCTCACTCCAGAAACAATGTTCCAACCAGCCACGCTTATGAAACAAGAACTAAAATAAATATAAGTTACACTTATACCAAAAATGCGTAAAGTTTGGTGGTATTAGGTTGTATAATAAATTCCCCTAGAATATAAAATCCTCTCGAAGTATAGTTTCAAAAAAAGAATTAAGAAGTTCATCTTAAATAACTTTGACATGCTTGCATCGACTGTAGCTTGACTCAACTCAGTCATTTCGTTTCTATCTAATGTTTTTTATTTCTTTTTTTTATATACATTTGCTCATAATATACTTTATGACCATTAGCCATGCATTGAATTTGTATATTTTATGACACACACAAGCTTACAGCTTAGCTGTCTATTCTTTTGTAGTAAATTGTAGTATTCTTGTTTCTCTGCTTAACCTTTACGCAAAATTTTTATTGATTCAACAACATAGTTTGACCTTACTCGAAATATTCCTATATTATCATATTTTAGATATTCATATTTTATGTACTCTATATTTATACTTCTAAGTGTTTTTAGTATGCTTCTGTCCTAATGTTGTGAATTTTAGATTTGTTTATTCAGACACGAAATTTAGAATTTGTGACGAGAAGATTCAGACATTTACCCTTTACGAAAGTATACAGAATTTTCACAATTTTATCATATACCGTTACTTGCTTGTATCTTTGCTTAGATTTCAGTTGCAATCTTGGTTATTCAGGGTAGCAAGAGCATACAAGCTCATGTATTTTTGAAACTGTTTTTTTATCTAAATTGTACTGAAGGTTGTTTTTAACTTGTAAGTTATATCGGTTTTTGAATTTGAATAAATAAATAATAATAAATAATAAATAATAATAATAAAATTTAGTAAAACAAAAAAAAAATTACAGCTCCAAATATTAGGATGATAATAGAACTTTAAATGCCCGTAAAATCAAAGTTATATAACTTTCCTGCCAATTCCCTGTCAGGATTTTTTCATATCTCATATAAATAGTATGATGTAGGATTGTAGTACATTCATCAATTTTTTAAATTATTTAAAATTAATTGTCATAGAATAAAAAAACAGGACCTAGTTTTACATGGAGTTGAAATTTTATACTCCAAGTCATTATTAGTTCGGAAATAGGGTAAAATCAACTATGAAATTGAAAATTCATTCTATTTCGACCTGAGCTGTAGTAAAGATGTACTATTGACTAGAATTGATGAAAAAAGATCCCTACAGCTCGATATTCTGAAAAAGGCCATATTTGATATACCGAGTGACAAAAAAAGGTAAACACCTACGTAACTTTATTCAAGAATTTTTTACATATCGATTTATCTTGCCATGAACAACAAATGATAAAATGGTCGGGTTTTTCTGCTAAGTTTTTGTGGTGGCTGCGTGCATTGTTTGGTGATAAAAAAGTATTCGGTTTTCTTACATTTACGGTGTCAGTTAAATGTTAAATTGAGTAGTTGGAGAGCATGGAAAAATGGCTGATATGCGTACAATACGACAATTCCTTTTTTCTTATCGCACACATTGGGTGCTACCTCTCACAGCTGAATATCGAACACCTCATCTGCACGATGCCCAGGCGTGTCAATGAGTGTATAAGAAATCGTGAATCCTCAACACAATATTGAACCAGCTTCTGCAGTCGGTTGAATCAAGCAGAAAATTTAACCATTTTACTAGTAAGGTACACTGAACATTTATGCCAAAGATTACTAAAATCGGATAAACATACGTAGGTGTTTACATCTCTTTTTAAGACATGAACAGTAGCTCATTGTTTACATATTGTAACTTTTTCAGAAAATTCAGTTATTGTTCGTAAATCGCTCATTGATGTCAGTTTGAAATCGGCAGAAGCATATCCTACGTGTACGGATATAAGGACACTCCGACTTTTTAATAATAATAATAATAATAATAGCGTTTATTGTCCAACAGTTACCCCATTTACAGGACAATTACATAAGCACAATTAAATAATATTCAGTGGTGTTAAAAAAAAGTTATTTCAAATACAAATAAGCCATTCTAACTACTGAGTTAAGCGAACAAGTAAATATATCACAATGACAGCTAATAATATTTAGATGTTTACACATAACATATGTAGGAGATTTGACTAACACGTTGGTCCTAGCCCTTGATAGCTTAAAAGTTACATAGTTGCGTGAAGAGAACGAAGGAACATTGAAATTAATCTGTGCCAAAATGTCTGGGGAGTCAATAATGCTATTTAGCAGTTTAAAAAGGAATATGACAGATGAAACTTTCCTTCTGCATTCTAAACTATGAATTTCAAAACGCTCACATAGTTCCATATTGCTAATGCCGTGCTCAGGGTAAACTCCTTCAGATTTGAAGTATAGAAACTCTAGAAATTTTCTTTGGACCCTCTCAATATCATTTATATAAGTCTGGTAATACGGATTCCATACAACACTCGCATATTCTAGTTTTGTACGTACATATGTAAAATATAAGACTTTTAAGGCCCTTAAGTTATCAAATCGCTTACAGTTCCTGACAATGAAACCGTAAGACTTAAAGGCTTCCGAAAATTTCCGCGAAATATGAGTAGTAAATGTTAATTTATGGTCATATATAATACCCAAATCTTTGACTATATCGCTTCTTCCCACCACCACACCATCGATATTATAGTTGAATACACGAACATTTTTCTTTCTGCTATACCTAACTACTCTGCACTTGCTTATATTTAGATGTAATTTATTGAGATCGCACCAAATCCTAACACTACTTAACTACATCTGTAAGTCTAAGCAATCCTGCACGTCACTGATTGATGAGTATATCTTCATATCATCTGCAAAGCATAACTGTTGACCATTCATACTTTCACAAAGATCATTTATGAATAATAAAAGTAACAATGGTCCCAAGTTTGAGCCCTGGGGAACACCAGATGGGGCTAAGTAGGTTTCAGATTTAAAGCCATTATATTCAACAAATTGTTTTCGCTCTGACAAATACGACCTGAAGAATGTTATAGCGCTAAGTGAGAGACCAAAGTGACCAAGTTTCATCAACAAAACCCCATGATCAATTTTGTCAGATGCCTTTGAAAAATCCGTATAGATCACATCAACTTGGCAGTTATCATCTAGAGCTTCAGAAATACATGTAACCAAATTGGTGACTGTAGATCGGTTGCTGACAAAACCGTGCTGTTTTTGTGATATTTGATTTTTTATTGAAGGATATAAGCGATTGTACAAGATTATTTCAAAGACTTTCGCAAAAATGCATATAAGAGAAATTGGACGATAATTCTCGACATCTGATTTTTCTCCATTTTTGAAGACCGGACAAACTTTGGACACCTTCCATATATTCGGGAATATATTGGATTTTAAGCACATGTTGAATAAGTGAGCAAGTACAGAAGAAAAAGCTCTAGCACAGGTCCGAAGTCATCTTATCCTTTAGCTGACTAATGGCTAAAATAACTTCGCTATCCTGGACAGGAGCTAAAATTAGATGGATGTTATGGTTAACGTGCTCAACGATATCAACGTTTAAGTCTCATTGGTAGTAAACACTGCTGAAAAAGTTAGCAAATACATTGACAATCGACTGAGGCTGACAGTACGTATTATTTTGATACTTATTTCGACAGGAATTCGTGATGTACTATTTTTCATGTTCGTGAACGACCAAAATTTCTTTGGATTGCTAACTAAACTATTCTGAACATTCTCCATATAGATATTATACGCCCTCTTTATTTGAAATTTGATTGAACGGCGCAGTCTCTGAAATTCTTCAAGATCTGACTGATGTCCAAGCTTAGCAAACCTTTTCCTGTATTTAGCTTTTTGTTTAATACTTTTAATAATATTGGAATTATACCAAGGTGGATACTTGTGACAATAATTTTTGTATACAGGTATATGAGTATCAAAAGTGCTGTATAATTTTTCATAAAAACGATCTACTGCGAAATAGTAGATAAATAATAGAATTAATCCATGATTACCTGTTTTTCTAGGAGACCCTTCAAACTTTGGGATATGAATTATTCATCATCGTGATTCTCCTCATGTCGT